CTTGGTAGTGCGGGTGTGAAGGGCCGTTCTCATGGTCATCGCCACCGCCGCCGACTCATGTTGCCTTCCCTTGTCACACGCGTGAATCGATCTTTGACTTGTGATGGCGTGACGCCAGTCGCTGTTTTTCTTTTCATCGATTAGTGGCAGCCGCAGACTTCTGATTTGGTAATCTTCGTTTTGTCCATGTTGCCCCGTTTTCTGCTTGGCTGCTGGTAACAAAGGCGTCTATAGGCCTTGGGGCCTAAAGGTCTCAACAGTGGATGCGACACACACTTTGATGAAGAGGCAGCTTGTGCCAACTGTTTGTGGGGTCTCAGGCACGCTATTTCTCTCGTAAAAAGCTCATCTAGCCAAGTCCATCCTCCCAGACTTCTCGTTTGGGGACACTCGTATTGTCGGTCCTCTGTAGTGACCTCACTCCGTGCGAAAGTTCAACCTCCCATGGTTACTAGCAAGTGCGCATGTTCCAGTGCCTGCCTACCCCAACCCGGTATGGTCAATCACCTTCAAGGCTGACTCCACAGAACCCCACTGTGACGGCCGTCACGCTCACATGCCTCGGACGCTGTCCCTCCTGAATGCGCACGCATGTTCATCCGAATGTCAACTTCTTCTAACCTATTTTCGTCTACCTCTGTACTAAATATCCTATTTCTCCCACCCGGGTTGCATCTTCTTCTCTTCCTATGCGCAAATGGGCCTGAAAATCGCAGCGGCAAGGGTCTTCCCCATTATGTCACTGTGCTACGTCTTATTCCGACAGCAGTCTCTATACCGGCTTATTGCCATTAAACCTACTTTCCCCGAAATTTGCCGTAAAGCCAACTGTTTTATCAGGAGGCTCCTATTCCCGTGCTCTATTAAAGTTAGGTACAAAAAGGTGCATGTCCTGCATTGGTATTAAAGACCACTTGTAGAAAAGGAGGCGTTGCGTATGATGTCATCCTGTGCTTCAAGTTGGAACAGTGTACTAAAGGTCCAGAAGCGATTTATCGGTTAGATAGTATACTCAAAATTTTTAAGAATGAAGAACACGTCTGGAGGCAAATTGTGGTTTTGTTTCAATATTGGTGGCCTGCACACAAGCATTGTCAAGAAAAAAGATGAAACTTCCTGGCAGAGTACCCTGCCATGCTTGGAAACTTTGGAGGCGTTCCAATATGCTTATATTTGAAAACAGACTGTACAAACGAGACCGGCTTAATCCAGTAGTATACATTCTGATAAGGAAGAACTCTGGCGCATTTTGAAGGTAGACTAGCAGTGAGAACCGAGAGACGTATAGTAGGAAATCTGAGTTATTTATACGTCTGGTATCTCCTACAGACATCAGCGTCTAAACTGTTCGTTTGTCGCATTCTTATTTGCGCACCAATACCCACGTGGTTGCAAATGCCGGGTAGTGCTCAATAATGGAAGAAGCCAGGGCTGTGCGCGATACGTAAGGCCTTATTTTTGAGCTAAACTTACGTAGATAAATCGGACTATTTACATAATGCCTACCTCAAAAAGCAGGTCGTTTATTTACATAAATTTATTGATGGCGTTGCATAAGCAAAGGCCATTCTGAGCCATATATAGGGAACCCTTTAAAATGTATAGTGCCTGCATGTAAGTATTTACACATGGCTCGCATGGGAAATGAAACTGGAGTATTACACAAGCAAAAGGGCAGCTGAGGTTAGACTGACCTTTATCAAGTCCGTTCCCAGATTCTCCAGCAGATCCGCAGCTGTCTTATATCCCTGGAAGTCATGTTCCTCCTCTTTGCTGAGCTCCTTCACAGTTTTCTCCCTGATACAAATGTCCATGACTGCAGAAAATCTCAGAGGTCTGCTCTGTGCCCGAACTACTATGTTCTGCAATTCTGCAGGCATCACATCAAACAGCTCCTTGGCTCTCTTCGTCTTATACACAATCGTCATGCTGCCCTCCTTGACTTCCTCTTCCTCCTCCTCCTCTTCCTCGGGTAAATCCACATCAAGATACCTCGCGTAAGCCCACTCGTATCTCGCCTTTGCTCTCGGACTTTTGGCCTGCTTTGGGCTTTTCGATTGCAACTGTATCCTCATGAACTCATCAAAGTCGGTGTAGGGCGAGAGAGTGTACACATTATTAACTGGCGTCGTCTGGCCGCTGGGTTTCAGGGTCTCCTCTCGTTGTAACTGTTT